GGGAGCCATGTACACTATCTTCTTTGGTTACCCTCCACCACTATACCATTACCCCCACTGAAATTCACTGCCTTAACTTCTGCCTCCTTAAACTTCACCTCTGTCCTGTGAGGTTACTATTCTCTGTTTCACTCATCTCATCTCTGAGTCTAGCAATAAGCCATTTCCTATGCTTGAAGGAGTTCCCCTGTTTTACCTACTTTTTTACTTATAAAGCAAAAATGAGGATTTGCCTCCTGTTTGAATCATTCCCAAGATTCATGCTGTGCATACCTGACTTGCTTCTTCGGAATTTCCTAAAGAAATACTGTCCAGTTATATGAATTTTAAAACATGTATAAAGTCATGTAACCACCACCATAATCAAGATACAAAGCAGTTCCTTCAACTAAAAAATTTCCTTCCTGCTACCCCTTTATAGTCATACACTCCACTTACCCCTAATCTCTGAAAACCATTGATCAGTTCTCTATCATTACAGTTTTGTCTTTTCAAGGATGTCATGTAAGTGGAATCAAATGATATGTAACCTTTAAGAGTAGCTTCTTTCACTTAGTATAATGCCTGTGAGATTTGTCTAAGTTGTGCGTTATCAGTAGTTTGTTCTTTTTTCATTGCTGAGTAGTATTCACTATATGGACATATCACATTGTGTTTATCCATTCACCCATTGAAGGAAATTTGAGTTACTTTCAGTTTCTGGCAGTTACAAATCGAACTGCTTTAAACATGCATGTAGAGGTCTGCATTTCTCTAGGGTAAATATGTAGGAACAGGTTTACTGGGTTGTAGGGTAAGCATACATTTCAACTTCATTAGAAATTGCCAAACTTGTTGTCTAGAGTGGTAGCACTATTTTGCAATCCCACCAGCAATGTATGAGATTTCAAGTGGCTCTGTGTCCCTGTCAACACTTAGTACTGGCAGTACTTTTTAGCCATTGCAATAGGTACGTAGTAGTATCTCACAGTGGTTTTAATTTGCATTTCCTTAATAGCTAATGATGGTGACCTTGTTTTTATGTGCTTATTCGCCATCCATATATTCTCTTTGGTGAAGTGTCTGTTCAAGCTTTTTTTTTTTTAAACCAATTTTTTTTAAATTAGGTTATTTGTTTTCTTACTGTTGAGTTTTGAGAGTTCTTTCTATATTCTGGATACAATTCCTTTCTTGAATATGTGACTTGCAAATAGTTTCTCCCAGTCTGTAGCTTGTCTTTTTATCTCAACAGTTTCTTTCACAGAGCGGAAGTTTTTAATTTTAATGAAGTCTAGTTTATCAGTTTTTCTTCTATGGATGGTGCTTTTGGTATCATGGCTAATTCTGCCTAACTCTAAGTCATGAAGATTTTTATTCTCTGTTTTCTTATAAAAGTTTTATAGGTTTACATTTTACATTTAGATCTGTGATCCATTTTGAGTTAACTTTTATATAAGGTGTGGGATTTAGATTGAGATTCATTTTCTTACATATGGATGTCCAATTGTTCCAATACCATCTATTAAAAAGGCTGTCCTCTCTCCCTTTGTCTTTAGGCCTTTGTCAAAAGTCAGTTTGTCATATTTGCATGGATCTATTTCTGGTCTCTATTCTGTTCTAGCCACTATGTGTCTATCCCTTTACCTTTTTTTTTTTTAGCTTTTGTTTATTTTTTTCTACATTTTTTTATTAATAGTCATTTTACAATGTTGTGTTATCCCTTTGCCTCTTGTGAGGTACATACGTATTTTAGGATTATTATGTCTTCATGGTGAACTGACCCTTTTCACTATTATATAATATCCCTCTGTATCTGTGGTCATTTTCTTTGCTATGAAGTCTCCTTTGTCTGATATTTATTAATATTTGAGGTACTTCTCAAGTCTTTTCCTCTCTTCCCCCTACCTTAAAGAGTAGGACTTCCAGTTTATTACTTTAGCACTTTTTTTTCCTAAGCCAAAAAGCAAAATGCCAATGGTTCATCACCGTCTTTATCTCTGATCACTTTACATTCACTGATGGGTGGGCTGTAGAGGGGTCCCAGCCCATCACAGCTAACAGGTGAGGTCACCATGACAGCATAGTTCTCCACAATTATTCACATAATAATTGTTTACATAGTTGTTCACATAATAGTTGTTCACAGTTATTTGCTTCTCTTCCCTGGGGGAGGCTTCCACATCCCTACCCTTTTGAACTTAGCAATGGCCATGTCACTTGCTTTCATCAATGAAATGAGGGAGGAAGTGATATGTGTGAGTTCTGACCAGCAGCTGTAAGAGGCAGCTGATGGTTCACTGTGTTCTTTCTTCTCCTCTGCCATGAGATGGGCAGTGTTGTGGATACAAGCTGCTCCAGTAGCCTGGTTCCTAGAGGGAGGATAACACAGAGCAGAACCGCAGCTGACCAGCGATGGACGTAAGGCATAGACAAGAAATATAAGGCACCTAGAGTTTAGTGTTGTTCATTACCACAGCACAGGGGCCAAGCCCTGAGCCCAATCCATTCTAGGCTTAAGGGCCCTACCCATTTCTTTCATAAACAGGAGCCAAGAAAGCCACTTGCCCTAAATTAGAAACGAAGAAATGTTGGAGAGGGGCCAACAAATGACTGGAGTTAAAAGACAAACTGTGCAGCTGTTGGCCCCTTGCCCTTGATGAAACACAGTTTATGTTAGGCTCATCTATCTTGGGCCTCTTCTAAAGTTTAAGCATGGCATTGTCAGTTCCCTGCAGGGGACTGCTGAGTCCCAGCGCAGTTCTGTGCTATCTCGTCTGACACTGCATTGGGACACTACCCTTGACTCTTTGCAGCTCTCCTCATAGCTCCCCCATCCTCTTCCTATAAGGGCACTAATCCCATTCATGAGAGCTCTGCCCACATGACCCAGTTATCTCCCAAAGGCCCCACTTCCAAATACTGTCACATTGGGAATTAGATTTCAACATGTGAATTTTGAGACACAGACTTTCAGTCCATAGTATGAAGTATTCCTTTTGCTGAGTGCAGTAGCACCCCAATTTAACATGGCTTGTGTATGCACTTTTGAATGTGGGGATCCCCTAAAACACCCAGATTGCTTCTTTGTAGTGGAACAAGGGTTCAGACATTCTGGCTCTGGGTAGGGATGAACTGATCCACTTCAGCAGTTAAACTCAAACTAAAGAATCAAAGAAGTGACTTTCAGTTAACAGGACAGTGACATTTCATAATCCAAACCACACTTGGCACTATGTGTAAGCAGTCTCTGCTGTGTCATTGGAAGGCTCGTTGTCTCAGGGGACTCATGGTTGATAGGTATGCCAGGAAGGGGCTGAGTTCTTTCTCTGGATCTCCTGATGGTTTCCTGCCCCCAGGTTTACCCAACAGGCCCCAGAACAAAGATGCTTATGATATACCTTGTTGGGTATAGTGATTTTTTAAAAAAGAACTCCGATAGTCTGCTATTAGAATAGGACTTGTACCTTCTCTAAGCTATTCCTAGACTTCACTTCTGGTTGACTTTAATATCATTGATTTGTAGTTGTTGACTGTAGAGCAGTATCAATACACTGAATGCTGCTGCCCCTGAAGGCACTGTCAGTTGAGTTTTAGTTGTTTTTCAAGAGGGCATAGATTAATTAAAGGAGAAAGTCAAATATTTAATTCCCTTAGGTGGGACCATCTGAAACTATGCCAATATTTTTTTACCTTATAACCTTGGTATTATCACTTTGAAAGTACCCAACAGAGTTTTTTTTTTAATGAGCCCTCTTGTAAATAATGTGGTACCCTTTTGAGTAATATTTTAAGGTGGCAAGGTTCTGATTGCTATGATGTATTTTATTAGATACATATTTATTTGCGTAATTTCAGGAAAGGTCAATAGAGGCTTTATTTTTATGTGACTCTTTTCCTATCTTATCCATTTTATTTCTAGACACAGAGTTTGTTAGGACTAGATTCTTAAAAAAATAGCTTTATTGAGATATAATTTATTTGCCATATAGTTCATCTAGTATATACAATTTAATGGTTTTTAGCACATTCACAAAGTTGTGCATCACCACCACAATCAATTTTAGAACATTTTCATCATCCCCAGAAAGGGAAAAAAACCTGTTAGCAGTCACTCATTCCCCATTTCCTCTCACCCTACTCCCACCCGCAGCTCTGGACAGCTACTTATATAGTTCTTCTCTATAAGTTTCCTATTCTGGATGTTCTGTACAATTGGAATCATATGATATGTGGACTTTTGTGATTGGCTTCTTTTACTTAACATAATGTTTTCAAGGTTCATCCATACTATAGCATGTGTTAGTACTTCATTCCTTTTTCTTGCTGAATAACATTTCTTTGTTTGTATGGATCACATTTTGTTTATACATTCATCAGTTGATGGACACTTGAGTTGTCTTCTCTGTGGGGCTATTATGAATAATGCTGTTATGAACATTTGTGTACATTTTTTGTGAAGATCTAGCTCTTTAGTGACTCAACTGCCCTTTTAAATACTGGTGATATCGTCGCTAAATAGGCCCCCTAGTGTCCTCTTGATCAGCACCTCCTTTTTAGGGTAGGTGGCTTCCCCAGCACGCAGAGCTAGAGTGGTGGAGTGGAGCCTCTTGCTTCCAGGTTCAGTGCTTTACCAATTGGTGTGGAAACACAAAGGGAGAAGAAGACCTAATCCCATAGTGCCCAGATGTATAAAAACCTTGCAGGCTTTTTCTGTTTGCTGTTTCTTCTATTTGTTACTTACAACAGCATGGTCTGGTCTGAAAGCAAAAGAACAAGGATTCACAATTAGAAGATTCCTTAGAGATTTTTCAGTCTAATATCCTCCATATAGAGATGAGAAACCAACGCCCAGAGAAGTGATGTCACTTATCCCCAAGATCATGCTGCTGGTGGCAGGGCGAGGACTGGAACTCTGTTCTCTTCACTCCTCGTCCCCACCCTCATTGTGCCTCCAAGGGTGAGCGTTGGTTGCACAGAAGCTGGGTGAATGGTGCTGCATCATGTTGTCTCTTCTCTAATAGAATCCCGTCACAGGGCTGCTGTCAGCCAGTCATGAGCAGAAGGATGCCTGGGTGCGGGATAACATCTACAGCATCCTGGCCGTGTGGGGCCTGGGCATGGCCTACCGCAAGAATGCCGACCGTGATGAGGACAAAGCCAAGGCCTACGAGCTGGAGCAGGTAATGCTAACTGGCAGCCGTGTCTTGGCCACTTAGCACCTTTTCTTTGATCTGAAAAGCCTACGAGGAAGTGGTGTGTGTGCAGAACAGTTGCCTCCATTTGTACTGTAGGATATTTTGAGGAGGCAGTTAGGTAGTCTCAATCTCTAATGTATTTTTCCCTTTGAGACTTTTCCCTCCATAAAAAAACAACAAAAATCACACTGAATAGAAAAATAAAGCATCCAAATTTCTGACTAGCTACATTTCTCTCACACATGCTCGATCAATTTTATATGTACTTACATACGAGGTATCATTATAAACTACCATGATTGTTTTTAAAGAGTGAGCATACCAGAACTACACATTCCAAAGTGTATACTCTTTGGGGTAGTCATGTTGAAAGGCTATTGATCCACATAGTATTGCCGCTGCTTAAAACATTTTTGGAATTTCCCTTAAAAATGCCTTTCTAATTTGAGTCATTCCAAAGCAGTCTTATTAATTTATAGTCGCCCTTTAATTTTGAACCACATTGGTGCTGTCCAGTTTTCATGCCTGTGTTACCATACAGCACAATGAAGTCCTTCTGTTGTTTTCCGAAATCAGAAACCAGCATTCCCTGCAAAGCAAAGATTAGACATCATAAAGTATGTAAGAAAATAATCTGCCCCTGAGCACAGGATGTATTTTTAGAGTGTTTTGAGTGATAGCATCGAAGGAAGGAGCATTGACATATAAAAGTATAGTTCTTTTGGCATGAGAGCTTTTGGGATTTATCTTTAATTCATACATTCCTCTTTGGCTCACACAGTCAGTGCATCAGGTCCAGGGAGAGTTCTCATGGCCCAGTCAGTGCTTGTTTATAGCAACCAAAGTGGGCATGAATGGCAGGCAGCCTTGACGCATAGGCAGCTAAGAGAGGAAGCCTGTCTGTGCAAGCAATGAAAGGACAGTTTGGATTTGACTAGACATGCTGAGTGTGGGGTGATGAAATCACTCAGTCTCAGAAGTAAGACAAGAATTGGTAGCTTTTCTTTTCCATTTTTCAGTTTTATTAAGTAATATTGATACAATTTGACTGCACATATACAATATACTGCATGTAAATTCATATATACAACATACTGCACATTTTTTAAAAATTTACATATATGTACTATTCATTGTTTGTAAGAAGAGTTTAGAGCTTTAGCTTTTAAAACTTACATAGTTACCAAAGGAATAAAGCCAACCACAAAATAAGAATCAACAGAGGAGACGGAGAAGATGG